TGGTGGCACGTGCCTGTAATCCCAGCTACTCAGGAGGCTGAGGCAGGAGAATAGCCTGAACCTAGGAGGCGGAGGTTGCGGTGAGCCAAGATCACGCCATTGCACTCCAACCTGGGTAACAAGAGCGAAACTCCGTCTAAAAAAAAAAAAAAAAAGACTATTGACATATTTTTGCAATGTTGCTACCTATGTTGAAAACCTTAAAACTAAATTTACGTAGAACACACATCTTTTATTTAAATCCATCTGAACTGTCCCAAAATATAATTTGCAAAGAGCTTCAAACACCAAAAATATACCATTTTAAGGCATGTGGTGGCAATACTATTTGCCTTAGTTCATTGGTTGTTTACTTTTCAAAATTTGTGACTTTTAAGTACTAACACATTTCGTTGAATGTGTTGAATTGGAATTCTTATTTCTAAATTCAGCATTTGATTTCTTAGCTGATTATTTTATTTTAAAGAAATTAGAATGGCTGCATTCTGTACCTCAGAGAAGAAGCCGAAGGATGCTGATACACAGTGATGTGGAAGGCGTTTCTAAGAAACTTTTGCAACAGTGTATTAATGTGATTGGTTTTCTTTTTGTTTTAAGCTAAATATCTAAAACAAATTTCAAGTTAACAGTTCATAAAACTCAGATTTATTATTATTGTTTATCATAAAACATACTATGTTCCCAGTTTTAAAAAGACCCAAACTAAAATTTATATAATTTATTGGCATTTTTGCTGAATAGGTTTAAGTCAGATAATAGATTTTTAAAAAGCAAATGAAGCAATGTGCCAAAATTTGATGTTTCATAATAAAAATAGATACTTTCACTTAAAAAAAAAAGAAAATGTGGTCCATATACACCATGGAATACTATGCAGCTACAAAAAATAATGAGATCATGTCCTTTGCAGGAACGTATACAGAGCTGGAGGCCATCATCCTTAGCAAAGTAACACAATAAAAGAAAACTCAATACCATATGTTCTAAATTATGAGAACACATGGACACAGAGAGGGGAGCAACAGACACTGGGGTCTGTTGGAGGGCAGAGGATGATAGGAGGGAAAGGATCAGAAAAAATAACTAATGGATACTAGGCTTAATACCTGGATGATGGAATAGTCAACAAACCTGTATGACACAAGTTTATCTATTTAATAAACCTACACGTGTACCCCTGAACTTAAAAAAAAGTAAAAATTAAAAAAGTTTTTAAAAACTACAATGAGATTATTATCCCACCCCAGTTAATATGGCTGATCTCTAAAAGACAGGCAATAACAAATGCTTGTGAGGATGTAGAAAAAAGGGAACATTTGTATGCTGTTGGTGGGAATGTAAATTAATACAACCACGATGGAGAACAGTATGGAGGTTCCTCAGAAAGCTAAAAATTGAGTTACATATGATCCAGCAATCCCACTGCTGGGTATGTGCCCCAAAGAAAGGAAATCAGTGCATCAAACAGATACCTGCACTCCCATGTTTACTTCAGCACTGTTCACGATAGCCAAGATTTGGAAGCAACCAAAGTGCCCATTGACAGATAAATGGATAAAGAAAATGTGGTACATATACATGCTGGAGTACTACTCAGCCATAAAAAAGAATGAGATCCTGTCATTTGCAACAACATGGATTGAACTGGAGGTCATTAAGGAGGTTAACTGGAGGTTAAGTGAAAGAAGCCAGGCACAGAAAGACAAATGTCACATGTCCTCACTTATTTGTGGAATCTAAACATTGAAACAATTGAACTTACGGGCATAGTGAGTGGAAGAATGGTTGCCAGAGGCTAGGAAGGGTAGCCGGGGTTGGAGGCTGTGGGGGAGGGGAGGATGGTTAATAGATTCACAAATTCATTAGAAAGAATAAGACCTACCATTTGATCATACAACAGGGTGACTATAGTCAATAATAACTTAATTGTACATTTAAAAATAACTAAAAGAGTGTAATTGGATTGTTTGTAACACAAAGGATAAATGCTTGAGGGGATGGATAACCCATTCTCCATGATGTGATTATTTTGCATTGTATGCCTACATCAAAACATCTTATGTACCCCATAAATATATACACCTACTATGTACTCACAAAAATTAAAAAGAAAAAAGAAACTGTAAAAGGAAGAGCAAACCAAACTGAAAAATAGTGTAAGGAAATAAGCAATAAAGATCACAGCAGAACTACAGAAAAAGTTGGTTCTTCAGAAAGATAAACAAAATCAATAAACTACTAGACTTAGTGGTTTACTCACTTAGTCAATAACCACTAGACTAAGAATCAGCAAAGAATGCCCAGATAAATAAAATCAGAACTGAAAAAGGAGACATTACGATAAATGCCAATACAAAGTGCCATTAGAGATTGTTTTGAGCAGTTATACACCAATAAATTTGAAAACTTACAGGAAAAGGATAAATTTCTGGACATGTAAAACCTGCCAAGATTGAATCAGAAGGAACTAGAAAACCTGAACAAACCAATAATGAGTAAAGAGATTGAATCATTAAAAAAAAAAGGTCTCCCAAAAAGAAAAGCCCAGAAACTTGATGGTTTTGCTGCCGAATTCTACCAAACAGTTGAAGAAGAGGTAACACCAATGCTTCTCAAACTATCCCCCCAAAAAATGAAGAGGAGGGAATCCTCCCTAACTCATTCTACAAGCCCAGCATCACCCTGATACCAAAACCAGACAAGGACACAAGAAAACTACAGGCCAATGTCTCTGATGAACATAGATGTAAAATCCTCAACAAAATACTAGGTTTAATATCTAGGTTATGAACTAATCTGTACAACAAATCCTGTGACATGACTTTACCTATGTAACAAACTTACACATGTATCCCAAACCTAAAATAAAAGTTTAAAAAATAAAAAAGTAAAAAATACTAGCAACCTGAATCAAACAATACATCATAAAGATAATTCACTATGATCAAGTGGGATTAATCTCAGGGATGCAAGAATGAGATACATCACATCAACAGAATCAAGGACAAAAACCATATGATCATCTCAGAAGATGCGTTTTTAACGGAGAACTTAAACAAATTTACAAGAAAAAAACAAACAACCCCATCAAAAAGTGGGCAAAGGTGTTGGGAAAACTGGCTAGCCATGTGCAGAAAGCTGAAACTGGACCCCTTCCTTATACATTATACAAAAATTATCTTCAGATGGATTAAAGATTTAAACATAAGACCTAACACTATAAAAACCCTATAAGAAAACCTAGGCAATCCCACTCAGGACGTAGGCACAGGCAAAGACTTCATGACTAAAACACCAAAAGCAATGGCAACAAAAGCCAAAATAGACAAATGAGGCCTAATTAAACTTAAGAGCTTCTGCACAGTAAAAGAAACAATCATTACAGTGAACCAGCAACCAACACAATGGGCAAAAAAATTTTTTGCAAGATACCTATCTGACAAAGGGCTAATATTCAGCATCTACAAAGAACTAAAACAAATATACAAGAAAAAAAAAACCATCAAAAAGTGGGTAAAGGATATGAACAGATACTTTACAAAAGAAGACATACATGAGGCCAAAAAACTTATGAAAAAATGCTCATCATCACTGGTCATTAGAGAAATGCAAATCAAAACCACATTGAGATACCACCTCACGCCAGTTAGAATGGCGATCATTAAAAAATCTGGAGACAACAGATTTTTCTGCAGATTTTCTGCAGAGGATGTGGAGAAATAGGAACACTTTTACACTGTTGGTGGGAGTGTAAATTAATTCAACCATTGTGGAAGACAGTGTGGCCATTCATCAAAGACCTAGAAACAGAAATTCCATTTGACCCAGCAATCCCATTACCGGGTATATATCCGTAGGATTATACACATGTACCCATATGTTCATTGCAGCACTGTTTACAATTGTAGACCTGGAACCAACCCAAATGCCCATCGATGATAGACTGGGCAAAGACAATGTGGCACATATACACCGTGGAATGCTATGCAGCCATAAAAAGGATGAGCTCCTGTCCTTTGCGGGGACATGAATGAATCTGGAAGCCATCATTCTCAGCAAACTGACACAAGAATGGAAAACCAAACACGGAATGTTCTCACTCATAAGTGGGTGTTGAACAATGAGAACACATGGACACAGGGAGGGGAACATCACACAGTGGGGTCTGTTGGGGGGTGAGGCGTTAGGGGAGAGATAGCAGGAGGTGGGGAGATTGGGGAGGGATAGCATTAGGAGAAATGCCTGATGTAGGTGATGGGGGGATGGAGGCAGAAAATCACCATAGCATGTGCATGCCTTTGTAACAATCCTGCAAGATCTGCACATATACCCCAGAAGTTAAAGTAAAATAAAAAAAAAAAAAAAAAGAAAAGAAAAGAAAAGAAAGGGCAAAAGAGAGCTGTGGAGGGCCCTTTGTAAGCCAGTTAGAATTTGGAAAGAACAAGTTTAGTGGGATGATGAATGAGGCTGATGGGATTGCTGAAAAATAGGAGGCAGTGATGGTCTGTAGTCTCAGGGCTCTCTATGTATGTGAGAGAGAGGCAAAGAAGGGAACGGGACTGAGCTGAGACAAAAGACATCAACTTTTGTACCAAGTGGATCCCTGAGCGACTCCAAAAAACACTAGGAGCTCAGACTCAGGTGGGAAGCCCATCACAAGCGACCAGCGTCCCAACCTATTGCAGCATCTATGGGGATCTAAATGTCTCTCCTGGTGGCCAGGCTCAAAGGAGGGATGGGGGGCGGGGGGGCCAGAATCCAGGAACAGAAGACTGCTGCTTTCAGGTTGTATGTTTCCACTAAGGATCCAGCCCCATTAGAAGATCAGGCCAGCTTGAGCAAGGGACAAGCACATATGTACACAAGTACACACTACTGATGTGGCTTTTTACCAGGCTGCCTACATCAAGGTAATTCTAACCCAGCCCTATCCATGGACACAAAGAGTGAGGAGGAGCCAAGGTTTTCTTGATGCCTGAATCTTAGGACTCAACACTTACCTTTCCAGGTTCTCATGTTGTCTAGACCAGAGAGAGAGATTCTTCTTGGAACCAGCGTGCATTCCGGCTTCTTGCTGCCGCTGTGTGCACGCCACTCGTCTTGGCGCCGCTCAGAGAGATGGCTTGGCTTAGGGGGGCGGGGAGGTGGAGTGTTGGACATAATGTCTACTTCTTTTTCTCCACAGGGTAAAGAACCTTGATTTTTATCTACCTGAATGGTGGAACTTAAGGAATTTTCCAGCAATGGTGAAGAAGACAAGTGCTCCCTGGGTGGCGCATTGATTTCTCTACTCCAGATCAGAGCAGCCTGAGGCCTTGAGGAAGGTACCTCCTGAGCTCCATTGCCATGGCATGATGGGTGGACCAAATGACTGGAGGGGAGCGGTGGCAGGCAGTCAACAAAAACGTCATCAAATGAAGCCTGTTCCAATGAGCGGTCTGAGTTTGACCAGCTATCACACCTGGTAGGTAGACTGGGGAAGAAAAGCATGTAAGTTGGACTAAAATGCAGCCCCGCACCTACCACAAAACCAATGCTGGGATCATTCCCATCCTCCAGGACCACCTTGCTTGCTGCTTGCATAGCCACATTCTCTCCACAACACTCAGTTACCCCAACTCCTTGGTGTGGCAAAAGAAAAATGGTTTGTTGATTTTTTCATCCTCTAAGCATCAGATACACATGAAAATGCAAGGTTAGAAATGAAAACCACAATGCTGACACATATGACTCATACTGTTTAGTATACTACATGCTTCATCTTTCACAGTGGTTCACAGCAGTCTGTCCCTGCCTTGACATTGGCAGGAAGAGAGGTGAGAGCAGACACACCCACTAGAAAATGCTACTGCTAAAGGGACTAATTTGGTGAAGCAAACTGAACACATGTCAGCTACAGACTCTGCAAGAGGAGGCCCAGCTCAGACAGTCCCGGACATAAGCATACCTGGTATGGTGTAGTCTTCCAGTCTCACAGTTGGACAAAACCAGATAATCAGGAAGGAAGAGAAGCTCTGACTCACTTCTGGTTTCCTCAGTGGCTACAGCATTAATGTTTGGGTCATCTCTTGGCAAAGAGGAGCTGGCAGCATGGGCGGTATGAAGGGAGCTGGCAGAGGATGGCTGCAGGGTGGAGGGCGTGTAAGAGAGGGTCTCCATGGAATCTGCTGGAGAAATCATTACCCAGGTTAATGTTTAAGAATGGCTATAACATGCACTCAGAATTTCTCAAAGAGCATCAAAGAAGACAAACAGAAGACGCAAATCACAGCTGGTGTTTGTACTGACGGAGGAGACCATTTCCCCAGCTATAAACAATGTCTGGGAAATAAGGCCAGTGTTTCAAGAGCAAAGTGTTGAATCAATTAAGAGTAAAAAAACGCAGCATTCTTGGCCTAAAAATCTGTAGTTAGTGTACACACAGCTTCTTTATGGCCCCCAGCAGCAGCTCTGCAGCATTGTTTATTCACTCAACAAACATACATGTATACATACATATATACACACACACACACGTATTTATGCATAACAAGTATGTGCATATAGTGACATATGTACTTGTGCATATATGTATGTATATATATACATGTTTATATATGTCTGTGTCTATATAGAATACCTATTATATCTACTATGTGCCTAGAATGCCACTAACCCTGACAGTACAGCCAAGACAAAGACCCTGCCCTTATTGAAGTTTAGACTGTAGCAGAGAAGATTAATCACTGATATAAGTAAAGGGAAGGAAAAAAACACGGTGCTGTGGTGGCTGGAAAAGCCCATATTTCTCAAGGAGCATAACACATAACATTCTCTCCATCACCTGAGAACGTGGCCCTTAAGCTGAATTTGAATCAGGAACCAACAAGAACTCCAGATCAGAAATAGCCAACGAAAAGCCTGCTTTTATTTCCCCTTTGAACCAAGTTAATAGTCCAGGTATTCCTGAGTCAGGGTGCCTCAGAACTGCATGTGTTCAAATCCACGCTCCACTCTACATAGCCATTACTACATGGGCTGCCTTCTCCAAGTTTCCTTTTCTATAAATTGGAGATAATACCCACACAATTCGGGTGTAATTCTCAGATGAAGACGACTCTGCCCTTACATGGTTCTAAAACCTGAGGGGGGCTAAAGTGAACGGAAAGGGTCATAGGAGAGTTTCGTGGCTTCCTCCAGCTTCATACCAGGGCAGGGCTCTTCCGTTTTGGTCTGGTGCCTTACTCATTCCTGTTGCTCTTGGGTTATTGGGAAACATATTATATACACATGTTTTAGGATAACTCCTGCATAAGGAAAGAAAAAGAGGAGACATATACTATATGATGATATATCTAGTTAGGGCTGAAGGTAGGGAATAGGCTGGTAAAGAGCCAACTTCTCCAGGCCAGGGAGGCTCTGCATAATGTCAGACTCTAGCCAGAACCGACTTACTGCGACTTTCCAAGTAAGCTTTGTCCGTTGTACCAAGGATAAAGAACTTGTCATTACTTCATTTCCTATTAGTTGAGTGCTCTCAATGCTCAGCAATGTTACTGGATAGCCTCACTTAATATGCTTCCCTGGTTCACGAAAAGAAAAGGAATGTGTTCTCAGGAAGCACTCTCCTGTGCCTGTCCTGGAGGGAGCTACACGTCTGACTCTCCATTGCCACCTAGCGTTAGAATGTGGATATTTCGGTGGCAGATAGTGAAAACCATACAGTAACCCTTAAAATGTTGAGGCAACTATGGACCACAGGACTTAGGGACAAAGCTTTGTCTACTAGACTAACACGGTAAAAGAAAGCAGATTCAAAATCTCAAACGAGGAATAGGGCATGCTTCAATGTCAGGGGCTCAACAACAAAATCCATGAAGGGAAGTGAATTGTAACCCTAGGTTACAATATACTTGCAAAATTACATAGGAATCGTTGTGTGGTGCTGGAGGGGAGAGAGAGAGAGAGAGAGAGAGAGAGAGAGAGAGAGAGAGAGAGAGAGAGAGAGAAGAGAGAGAGAGGGGAGAGAGAGAGAGAGAGAGAGAGAGAGAGTGAGTCAGGGGTACTCTTCATGGGTCAATTGCTCACACTGCCCAGAAATGGCCCAGAGCAAACTTACAACTAATTGATTCTGCAGAGAACTTGAGACATTTGGAGGCAAGTTCTCTCTTTCCACTATTTAGTGATGAACAACCCAATAGGCACCAGAAATGCTGGAGTTCCACAATCTTTTGAAATATGGCAATATTTTATATTTCTAGAAGGTCATGAGTGTCGGCATTATGGGAAGACATCCTCACCCACATTTGACTTTCACTGTGGCTGAATGAGAGCAAAGGCATGAGGGGTTTTAAAGCCATTAAAGCAACCTGCAATGCTCAGTGTGTGTATGGACGCTGCCTTCCCACATTTGGACCAGATAAAAGAGGGCAACTTCCAGTACTGTATTTGGTTGGAACAGTTCTGATATAAATTAGCCTGCCAAAACACCCTCAAGGAGGCGGGCTTGGCATCTTGAACTGTTTTTCTCCAGTAGCCCTCCAACTGCTATCCTAGGATACCCCTTAGCGCACGGGACCCCCAACTCCGCTCTTACCTGCACCATCCTCCAAGTGGCCGAGGTTGCAGACCTGACTGATGCTGTGCACCCACACCTGCATTTCTTGCTCAGTTTTGGCTACCAGGTAGAATGTACGGTAAGTAGTCTTGACAATGAACACGAAATTATTCTGAAACTCCTTCCGAACAAAGCTGGGGCCCACATGCTTCCACACTGCACACTCGCTGAGGTCTATCACCCGGATGGGCTTGCTGGAGTGCTTGTTCCTGTAGTACTCCAAGACATCGGGGTTGCCGCTCATGCGGCCTCGCCGGAGGACAAACCAGCGCTTGCGCCAGGCCTGCAGAAAGGCAATTCAACACGGAGTTACTGCACCGATTGCTCTTGCTTCTCAGGCTCTGCCAAGAATCCATGTCATGACAAGGACAGCAGGAAGGAAGCAAATCAGCCATTCTACTGACGAAACGCTTTGTATTACAGTACTAGCCCCCATCTTCAAGTCTCCTTTATTGGATAATTTTAAGGACGGGTCAGGATTGGGGAGTCTAGTAATGGGATTCACATCCACAGCATGAAGAATCAGAATTATACAATCCTTGCAAGTGATGCAGCGAAGGAATGTAGTACAAATTTAATATATGCTCAGGCTTTAAGAGAATCTTAGCAATAAAGAACCAGAAGAAAGCTTCCTTACTCTTATGTATCTCAGTTTAAGAGCCAACATCATATATTAAAATCAGGTGTAAATCGTGAGTGCTCACCACTGCCCTAGTAGCTTCTCACATTGTTATTTAAGTTCTACACAACTGGCCAAGAAGAAAAATCATATACATTGGAGAGGAGGAGAGAGGATTGCCAGTATCTGAAGGTGTCTTCCATCAAACCCCCAATAATGATTAAAACATTAATAGAATTCTCAGAGAATTAACTAGCCTGGCTAGTTACACTTCCTATGTAAGAGACCCTGGTCTAAGTGCTTTAGTGTAATCCATGTAATCTCTAAACCTATATACTATGAGAGGGGTAACTATTACTATCTCCATCTTATGTCTGATAAAATTGACATTCAGAGAGATTAAGTAATGTGCCCAAGGTCACATAGCTAAACAGCTGTAGGAATGCATTTGTACTCAGGTTGAGGTGGAAGGATTGGTAATGAATGTGAAGTTTAAAAAAAAGGTAGAGGGCTGGGTGTGGTGGCTCACGCTTGTAATTCCAGCACTTTGGGATGCCGAGGTGGGCAGATCACGAGGTCAAGAGATTGAGACCATCCTGACCAACATGGTGAAACCCCATCTCTACTTAAAAAAATACAAAAATTAGCTGGGTGTCATGGCGCATGCCTATAATCCCAGCTACTCGGGAGGCTTGCTTGAACTGTCAGGGAGAATTGCTTGAACCCGGGAGATGGAGGTTGCAGTGAGCCAAGATTGTGCCATTGCACTCCAGCCTGGTGCCTGACAACAGAGCAAGACTCTGTCTCCAAAAAAAAAAAAAAAAAAAAAAAGAAGGTAGAAAGAGGAAGTGTAGCCAGCTCTTCAGAAACATCTGACTGTAAAGGGGGAAAGCAAAGCTCTGGGGTCAAGGGATTTTTTTTAACATAGGAGACTCTTAAGCATTTACCCCCTAAGTATTTCTCAACCAGGGATGGTATAATTCCTCTCGGGAGCGTCTGAAAATATATGAGTTTTGCTTGTTACAAAGGCTAGAGTTGGGATGGGAGGTGGGGCATGGCAAGATTCTCTGGCCTAAAACTATCAGTGCTCCTGTTTTGAAACACTGTAAAAACTAAAAGGAACTTTCCTTAGTGGAACAGGAATCTTGGAAAGAGCCAAGCCTGGAGGTCAAATGAGCAGGTAAAGCTCAGACCATGCTCAGAAAAGAAAAGACAATGATATTCCACAGAAACCAGTGCCAAGATATGACAGGCTGCTTTTTGTGCCACTGAGAACTACTGAGGATCACCACTGATCTAGAATGTTTGATGTAGACTGTACCATCTTGGTTCAGTACAACGAAGGGATGCAGATTTCTGGCCTGGGGAAATAGGTCTTTGCAATTGACCAAAGCCCTAAGGAGTCCCTGGATCTGTAAACTTTCTTGCCATCTCTTGGAGCCAGGGAGAAGGAAATGTTTGAGTTCCTTGTCTTCTTACATTTAGGTGCCCTTTGTTTATCAAAGGGCCAGGTAGGCCAGCCTGCATGGATAGTGTATCCCTACTTTCTGAGGCAGGGAACTGTGGCATTAGCCCCAGTTGGGAATTGAGCACAGAGAAGGATGACAGGCTGATTGCAGGGCTCTCTTGCATTGGAGACACTAAATGTTGCATGGGAGAGATTTATAGTTCTGTGGTCTTCTCTCCTATGTGGTAGCCTGTGTGACAGCAGGAAGTGTGAGGTTTTGCCAGGAGGTACAGCGACCCCTGGGACAGGAAGTCTTTTGTATCTCTAGCTTCATTTATGCCTGATACTTTTTAAGCCCACCAGCTTTGGACAAGAGGCCAGGAAAAAAGGAAAAGACACTATTTGGAGTATTCTCAGCCCCCTCCCTGCTCAGAGAACATGAATCTGAGATGGCAGAGAATCCAAATAAGCACTGACCTCCAATTATGCCTCAGAATAAAAAGCCCTTCCAGGACTGTGGCAAAGGGCAGCAAGCAGGGGAGCAATCACTCTATGTCAGGTTGGGGCAGGTGAACCCTGGCTTGCTCCTGCTTTTACAGACAGTAGAAAGCTTTGAGAAGAGGTCTGGCCATGAGTCAAGCAAGGAGACAAAACTCAGGAGACAAAAGAGGGGGTGTGATTAAGTCCGTAGTTTTAAGACAGGGGAAATAACAGCATGTTTGTATACTCGTGGGGGTGACCCAAGAGGGAGAGAAAAATTGATTCAGTAAATTCCTGTTGCAAAAACATGGAGCCACTAAACATAAGAGAAGGAGCTCACGAGTCTTGCTGTGGGGTTTGGAGCATGGGAAATGTGAAACTTGGACTTCTGGCAAGAACTGAGGCAAACAGGAACATAAGGCCTAGACCTAGTGTTCTCTGAGATGGAGTGAGCCCAGGAAAGGGGCTCAGGGGATGAGAGAATGCTGAGGAAAGCTTTCATGGGGAGGGGCATGGGGTGTTCCAAACTTTCTAAAGGCCACTTCGGTGGGGGAAATGTAAAGAGGAACTTTGTTGCACTTCCCTAAAATGATTGTAAAAGAGGAAGTCAAACTGAGCATATAAGCAAGTTTCACATTAACCGCTCTTAGTGTTATGAAGACAATAGATTTCTTATCTTTTAATAGTGATGTTGGAAGAGAAGTAACACCAAGAGTTTATTTACTGAGTGCCTATTCTGCACTATGCATCATGCTTGACAATGAAGATAGAGAAGGGGATTAGAGCTGGTCCTTAAAAGACCTCACTCTCTAGCTGGGATAGGGAGACGGGTAGAAGTATAATATGGGTAGATGTCAACTCAGGGTAGTGAGCGGTCTAGCAGCAGAATGAACCAAGACTGGTGGGAATGCAATGGGGAGAGTGACATGAAAAAGGTTTGGGCTTCATCCAGTCATTCAAAAATTACCTGTTGATAGCCTACTAATATGCTGGACACTGTGCAGACACTGGGGAAGATGAAGCGAGCAAGCCACAGGCCCTGACACTCACAGTCTCATGGGTAACAAGGGAGTGAGCCGATGGATAAGCAGACAATTGCAGTCAGTGAGATAAGTGCTACGATAAGGCAAAACCACGATGCTATGGGAACACACAAAAGGCACATCTCTTTCAGATCAGTTGTCTGGGGAGGCTTCCAGGAAGAAGTGGTGACTAAGCTGAGGCTGAAGTGGGGCAGGAGGAAGCAGCATGTACAAAGGCATTAAGGTGGAAGAGCTCCACACTTTGTGTAAGTAGTTCAGCAGCGCTGGAAGGCAGGCATGAGGATGGAAAGGAAAAAGAACAGTCACACGGTAACTTGAATAGGGTGTAGCATATTTCTGATGCTAAACCATGCAAAATTGCCAGTGTGCCCTTCCTTAGTTTTTAAATCTCTACCTAAGAGTTGTGATTATGCAAAAGCAGAAATGAGGTGTTCTTCGAGCTCTTTGCTAAGTAGGTAAAACCAGAGGCTACATATAGTTCTGTACCACCAGGCTTACATGCTTCTGGAAAGTGGAAGACATGTGACAAACCCTGAAAGCAGTCAGTCTGCCAGCACCAAAGTGAAACTTTGTACAATGAAACAATGCCACAAGGAATGATGAGGGTCATGTTAAAAGGACTCAGGAACTAACCTGAAGAGGCTACCACTAGCCATATATGAAAGAATGCATATGCTGCATAACGACATTAGAGAAACAATCACATATACAGTGGTGGTCCTGTAAGTTTTTTTTCAATCCTCCAAAACATCTGAATCCCATAAAATTTAATACCACATTTTTATTATACCTTTTCTATGTTTAGATACACAAATACCTACCATTGTGTTACAATTGCCTACAGTATTCAATACAGTACCATACTGTACAGGTTCGTAGCCAAGAAGCAATAGGCTACACCATCTATGTTCGCATAACTACACCCTGTGATGTCTGCAAAGTAACTAAATCACCTAATGACACATTTCTCAGAACATGTCCTCATCATTGAATAATGCATGATTGTATAATAACTATAGTAGCTTGAAATCCATCAAATACATTTAAATCCATGACTTCATTGTGATATTAGAAAAAGAATTTGTCATCTTCAGAGGATATAAGGGAACTACTTCATTTCCTTGAAAACTAGTTAAGTAAAAGGAAGAATCAAGCATTATCCCACCTTTCCTATGTGAGCTGTCCCACTTGAGTAGATAAAGGGAATGTCTCTTATGAATGTATTCTGAGTAGTAACAGACAGACAAATGACGGAATTAAAATATCCCCATTTGCTAACCCCAGTGAATTAATAGGTATAGTTATTAAGCACCAACAGCTGCTAACTTGGGAAGAGAAACAAGCAGACATTTTGTGCCTTTGATAGCCTGATACGAGGGTGCCTGTGGGAAACTCTACAGGTCAAAAGCCCAGGTTCTTCAATGGGTAAATGATAAGAAAAAGAAAAGCACAGGAAAGGAAGCCATCAATAAAATGAAAAGGTGACCTATATACTGGGAAAAAATATTTGCAAACTATATTTAAGGGGTTAATAATTAAAATTTATAAAGAACCCTTACAACTTAATTGCAAAAAAAAAAAAAAATTAAAAATGGGCAAAGGATCTGAACAGACATTTCTCCAATGAAGACATAAAAATGTCTAGCAGATGACTGGGCATGTTGGCTCACATCTGTAATCCAGCACTTTGTGAG